TCCAGGGAGCTGAAAATCTAGAGTTTTCTTAATTCCATGAATTCAGCTTGTGAAGGTAGGGCCCTATAGTGTGGTCAATATTATGACCTGACTCCAGTTGCGTAGCTACCGTAAAACTAGCGAAGCAAGGCAGTGTGGCCTAGGAAAATATGGGCCATTTTTCCTCTTTTAGAAAATTTAAACTTTTACATTGGAATTTAATATTTGTTTTATATAAAAAAAAATTAATCGAAATCCAGTTGTTTTTCGACTACAGAAATAATTAAAAGTTAATTAAATAATTAAAAGCCCCCCCTTTCCCCCCCCCCCCCCGTCTTTTCTTACTGTACAGGCAGTGGCATTTAGTTAGGAAGGGGGGGGGGGGTGTCGAATAGGGCCCAGATGTAATAATAAGATTACAGGGGCTGCCGCAGTGCGTGCTAGACATTGAAAGAATTATCCTATAAATAAACTTGAATTTTGAATCTTTTTTAGATTGGCACCCGGCACTCGTAAATTTACATGTATCTCTACAAACCTCAACTGACTAGGAAATTCCCCACCCCATAGACCTAGACCTCCCTCCAAAATGTCTACCCTCCCCCTAAATTCCATCCTACTAAACATCCATGATAACAACTGAGCCATTTTTAAAAATAGCAACCATGGACAGTGCTTTCACAACAATTCCAACGTCTGTCAAAGTTTTTATACTTTCTATTTTTATATTAATGGCATTTCATTTGTTGATCTAATCTTTAATCAATATAACGCTACTAACGCATTAAGTTTTTTTTGTTTTCATCCAATCGCCAAGAAACTTTGGAATGTCGTTTTTTTCAGACATTTTTCTGAAAAGGTGTCTGAAAGAAATTCTGACTTTTGGGAAGGTTTCTGCCATTAAATTTTTATTTTATTTCGGAGGGCGTCGCCCCGGCAGTAAGGCGGTGCGTTGTGTCACCCAGAGTTTCTCAGCGGCTATCTTTGCACCTGGGGTCCGTTGATGGTTATAAGGCGCAGCGGGTCAGCTTTACTACTTAATTCAGCGGTCAAATTGCACAGGTGCATCAGCCGGTGCCCGGGCGGTCGTATCACCCGGTGCGCTCCGTGTTTACCGATGAGCACTACTATTCATTTTAATGAGTGCTATTCTCTAGGGATATGTAGGGCTACTAAAAATCGATTACTAAATTGAATATGGTATGTCCTCTATCGCAGTAGTAACAGTTGGACGCCCCGAGTTACGAAGCGGCTACCTGAGTTATTAAAGATCCGTTAATTGTGCGTCCTGCGGAGTCAGGGGTGCTGCTTATTTTACAATCAAACTGCGCTAGGGGCAGCTTTCGACGCCCCCGGCTTACGGATGACACCAATCACAAGAGTAGCTTACACTAGGGACACTGTGGGCCTCTACGTTCGATGATTACACCAAACCAGAGGTTGCATCCGACTACCTACTGTAGTGTAACCATTCACTCCCGCAACGCTATTGATACATGAGCGGTCGCAGAAAAGTTTTCAACCTCCCTATTACGGAGGAGGAATAACACACTCAATGCTTTCATACAACACGCTTAAAGGCGTCTGAGCGGTAATGTGGATAGACCTCCGCCACAGTAACAAAGATAAAAAAAAAATAGCAGCGGCTTTGTTTACATTTTAACTATCTGGGTTTAAGAAACAATGTCACACGACTTAAAATACACAAATGGTAATGCGTTGATGAAACCCTTAAAAAAAATTTCGTTACCCTGGTATCTTGGATTAGATAGCAGCATCGTGAACGGGTACGCTAATTAGTAAAACGTTCTATAACATTCCACGGTAATCGGGAATGGGATTTCGATGTCTATGATGGAATTTTTTAATCTCATTATTTGCTCCTTATGTTGATGTTATTTTTTATGAAACCAGAGGCGTAGCAAAGGGGGGGGGGGCGCCAAAATGGGTTGGAAAAACAAATTATCAATAGTTTGCTCCCGAGGGGGGCGCCAAATTGAAAGTTTGTCCCCGGGGGCCGGGAAGGGTCGCTACGCCTCTGTATAAAAAAATTGTAGATCTGCCTTTAAGTGAGAAATTTTGCGCTGCTAAGAATCGAACATACAGAAGCAGCTAAAATGAATCTCAGAAAACTTATTAATCATTTTGCAATTTAATCATGCGCAATTTTTTTATTGTGTTCGTCACATGGTCGGATGATACCCTACGCGTTTACTAATGGTCTAAAGGTGTCACCCCATCGCCCCCCAAAAAAATTGCATTTTCGGTGGGATGTCACCCCTCTCTCACTTATCTTTTATTATTTTAGCTGGATACTGCTTAGTTTTGACACAAAATTGTAAAAAATCTTGTCATTGTGTCACTCTTAAATGTTGTCATCAGATGCGGACTCTGTTTGGTAACTTTAAAATACTACAAACTGACTGTAAAACTGTAACATTTTTTACAAAACTACGGGTTAGTACGCCTACATAATAATATAGTATAAATACAAAATCAGCTCGAATAAAATGCTAAATGTACAGAATATTTATATTATTTAAAACCCTCCATCGTAAGCAGCAGACGGTTTCTTGATAAACAAAGGGGGCAACTGACTCCCGTCACAGATGGGTGGCCACATAGACCCCCTACGGACTCCTACGGAGTTCCGAACTCGAGACTTTAGAATAAAAGTCGCACGGTAGACTTTCCGACCACGTCGTCCCATTAAGGAACCAATGGGTTTTCAACTTAGAGCTCCATTGGCAACGTTATAGCGGTATATACGTCAATTTATTTTAGCAAAACTTAAGTTGTCAGCTACATTTAGGCGTAAACGCTGTGACTTGCTGGTATTGAGTTTTAATAGATGTCAAGGATCCTATGTATTCTTGTATAGAAAACACAACACACATATAACATCCTCCGTCGTTTTGATCGCAAACTTATTACCCAGAACCTAGGCCTCGTGTTTAACAACTTAATTATCTAATTACACAGAAACTTAGTTTACTGCTGGGCGACTTGATTACACAAATACATTAAACTTTACAACATGAACATAAACACACAAACACTGACCTAACGCCTAGAACCCACACCAAGCCTCTGCTTCCGTTAATTAGAATGTTTAATGATTTTGCATCAATGACCACATTTAAATCTACACGTAAAATGGCCTGTCTCACTTTTCAAAACAATATAAAATAGATCAATTATATATATATATATATATATATATATATATATATATATATATATATATATATATATGTCTATTTAGAAGAGTCTACTTGATTTTGAAACACGGTGGCTAGTGAAAATAATTTGCAGGAAACACGGCAATGTGATAATCATGCCATTTAAATTTCATTATTTAAACTTGAGAGATATTAATGTAAATCCGTAAGTATACTATAATTATAGTTTACAGTGTACTAAATACCTTCTCTAAAAACATTGTCAGAGGATAAAACACTATGGTGAGAATGAAATCTCTAAATATTTAAATTGTCTCTAACATAGTTTTGTTATAGTTTTGTTGTTAATGCGTTAGGTAAATAAACAATTATCTCACAAACAGCCAAACAATATTTGATGACTGGCTCTGGCTGACAAGGCAAACGATGTTTTGACACGAGCAAAACTTAAGATACGAGCACCAGAAGCTAATTATTTACTTTACGTGGAAACCAAACGCCCCAAATAATATAAGTGACAGTTGCCTAACTCATTCCAGCAGTATTTTGAAAAAAAATCTTCCTTGGCCAGGTATTTTTTAAAGCGGCCAACAGGAGAAAGTGAGGATAACATGGCGAAAACCTCAAAGGCCAATGAAGAGAAAAGTGATGATGAAAATTAAACGAAAGTAACAAAAATTTATAGTAGCATTTTAGTTCCATTATATTCAGTGACTTTTAGCTAAGTTCAATTAATTTTATACAAAAAGGTTCGTATAAAGAGTGTAACGAGTAAGTGAACTAAAATTGACCAAAAGAGTTTAGCATTAATACTGTAGCTACTAAGTGCACCAAGTGAAGCTCCTCCACCAATCTCCTCCTACCTACACCTCAGACAACATCTTCCGTAAGATAGTAGGCTGATTTCCAAGGTAAATACACTTCATAAAAACCTGTTTATTTCCTTACATTTTCTTTTAATATTTTTGTATTCTATTTGTTATTATTAATAAATACATTTTCTTATTAAAACACACTTAACAAAGGGCTCTTAGGGGGAGGGGGTGGGGGCTTTTTGGGGGATTCGAACTGACTTATGATAGTTCAATTATATTCATTTGGGGAATTGCTTTGCATTCCGAGCAAAATTAACGCATTTTCCGATTACAATTTGTCTGAACAAGTAGGCCTACATTGCTTGAAGAAATGAACATATAAGAATATATAGGAGACAACTGTGTGCATCCACTGACGGAACATAAATTTCATTGTTACTTCCCTTTGACCATCTTATTTTTAATTCGTTATGTCTAAGTACGAAGGTTTTATTATCAGTCAGTAAAGAAAAAAAAAATGTGTTAAGTCTCAGCTACAAACTTGACTGCCGACATTAAGTCTCAGCTACAAACTTGACTTCCGACATTAAGTCTCAGCTACAAACTTGACTTCCGACATTAAGTCTCAGCTATAAACTTGACTGCCGACATTATGTCTCTGACTGCCGACATTAAGTCTCAGCTACAAACTTGACTGCCTACATTAAGTCTCAGCTATATACTTGACTGCCGACATTAACTTATTAAGTCTCAGCTACAAACTTGACTGCCGACATTATCAGCTACAAACTTGACTGCCGACATTAAGTCTCAGCTACAAACTTGACTGCCGACATTAAGTCTCAGCTACAAACTTGACTGCCGACATTAAGTCTCAGATACAAACTTGACTGCCGACATTAAGTCTCAGCTACAAACTTGACTGCCGACATTTCTCTTCACTACCATCGTGTTTTGTTTATCATCAACACAAAACATTAAGATTATTAACGATAATAAAATGAATGAAAGAAACTTTGAAATATTCTAAAACTTTATTGACATCCATACAAACAGTTTGTAAACAAATACAAACTGTTGATTAATTATTGAAACAAAAATGTACAAATGAAATCCACAAAGTTCATACAGATTAATGATCTTAATGATTAATTCATAATTAATAAGCAACAAAATACATGTTTGCAGCAATAAACATTTGTTTATAATTTTGTTTATGTGTCTAACAACTCTAAACGAATGACGTGAAAGAAACTAAACAATTTATTTCTTGTCTACATTAAAATACAAAGTTGCTGATGACACACAAGTTTAATGGAGGGAGCCGCCATTTTGTTTGTTTACATTTGACAAGGGGAGAGAACCAACAGTTACAGATGGATCAATACAACACATCCTCCCCACTATAATTTCCTTCAGAGTTTGATCCACTGTGGGGACGTGACAACCACCCGACATATCCCACTATGTAGACAAGTGCTCCACTGGAGCCTGGACATGTACATGTTGTGTACGTGTACTTGTACCAGCCTCTCCTCTCATGTATGTGTGTCCATTGTCCTACAGAGACCTGTTTAGGACAGCCATGAGGATGTGACACTATAACGGTCAACTTGTCCACATCATAAAATCCCATGTATTTGTCCTCTACTTTCCTGCATAGACCTTCAAAGTGCCGACACATCTTGTCCAGTTCATCAACCAACTCTAAGTCACATGACACACATGTAAACATACACCAGTCTCCCTCAATGTGTGGCATACCCTCCACCCCCCAGCCATCAAGACTGACCCCAGGACTTTTATTGTCATCAAAACCTACAACACACCTGGTCTGTCTCGCCTCACTCTCATCAAACACCACATGTGTGGCTGTCAACACACGAACCTCCCCCCACACTTTGCTGGGTGTGTCCGAGTGTTGACACTTGCCACATGGACAAGTGCCCTTGTTGTCACTCTCTGTGCACTTGACCACCTCACACACCCTCCCCGTCCCTGTCCTCAACACGTCACTTCCTCTGGTGTTATAAAATGGATACTGACCACTGAAGCATGGAACAGACTTTGGTCTCTCTAGACTGGTGTACTTGACCTTTATCAGGACCGTTAGGGCAGACAAAGCTTTGATTACCTCCAAGATGATGACGTCATGGTAACTTGAGGGGAGATGATCCAAGTTAAAATCATTAACAGGTATAAAGTTGACATGACCTGGATTCTTCTTACAGCCGGTATAGTGCTTGTGTAAGTCAGCTTCACCTCCATAGCAGATCTCGGCTTCATGATGTCCTGGAGAGGTACAAGGGGAGATAATTTTGATAGTATTTTATCATATCATTTTATCATTTTATGATATTTTATTTCGTTTGTTTGTTTTTGCATGGAAATTTCATTAAATATTAATTATTTATAACCTTAGATTCTTCTGTAGTTTTAAAAACAAAAATACCTTTACCTGAAATAAATGGTTCTGTCCCATTTCCTGTTTCTTCCATGCTTTAACCTTGACCTCCAAACCTGAAACAAGAGAATTTGTTGCCATGTAAACTGTTTTCTACCATAGCTGTTCAACAGTTTTCTGTGAAAATCTCTTTGTTGCTAAGTTTTAAAAAATCTTTGTTTATTATAACCAAATAAATAATCAATTCATTGAGAAATTGTATTTAGCGAAACTAATACTAATAAGAATAAAATGTGACTGATTAAATTGTATATTATACAACTGCATATTAGATCTATATATAATGGCTAGTTACTGTTTTTACTTATTATTTCCCAGTATGTTACATAGTTCATGAAATGTCTAAAAAAATCAAGAGTATATGATTTGTTTGAGCAAAACTAAAGTGGTTTACCTAGCAATAGCATACACCCAATTACAGAATACACATAGTAGCAAAGTTCTATATTTAGATATGGTAGAAATTGGCTTTCTATTGTCAGTGCTTGTTATCTTTTCTTCCTCCAATATTTCCTAGTGTGATCTTGTATTTCCTGTGAAAACAAGCATATAATTAGCCTACACTTAATTACAAAAACATGAATGTTAAGCAATTAGCTTGTAAAAAAAGTTTAATTAGAGTGCTTATGTATGAATCACTCACATATTGAATTTCTACCCTTTATTCTGGTCAGCATTACAGTATAAATTAACCATTTGACAAGGGTGGAATAAGATTGTAGGAAAAAAAGTCACAGGAAAAAAGTCACAAATGTTTATTTGCATGGAATTATATGTATTTTGTAAATCAACTTACAATTTCTAAAATGTAATGTAAATGTTAAATATATATATGTGGGTTGTATACATATTTATAACACACATAAAAGATTTTTAGTGCAAAGATTGTCGGATTTAATTGTAACTCTGACAATCATACAATATTTATTAGAATTTAATATATTTGTGTTTCAATCGTGTTAGTGAAATAATAACTTTAAATTAGCATGAAGTAACATAAAGACGTAGTTAATGTGACTTGCTGCCCTCAACTCATCACAACAATAGTTCAACCATCTGTACTGCCCACAAGTATTCATGCTCATTACATAACAAAGCAAAGGATCAAAAACAGAAAGCCGACAAAGTACAAAGGCTGTCATTGACGCGAAACGTCAACAACACACAATATGAATAATTATGGATGGACACAATGATGATCTAGAAGCTCCTAGTTTTTTAAAATAAGTTTTTATTAAGTTAGATCTCTAGATTCTACTCTAGTAATACAGTTAGAATCTAGACTAGACTTAGACGTATTACTAAGTAAGTAAGTAATTAGATCTAAATCTAGATCTAGACCTAGATTCTAGATCTAGATCTAGATCTAGATTTCTAGATTCTAGATCTAGATAATAGATAATAGATGAAGAATCTAGATCTATCTAGAATCTAGCTAGATCTATCTATAGATCTAGAATCTACATCTAGAATCTAAAGTCTGAATATTAAAATAAAAAAAAATAGTAGAGTAAATATAATTATTATTTATTAATTATAAAAGTAACTAGATCTAGATCTAGTTCTAGTTATCCGCATTAAACTTAAACAACTCATGACGTCAGATGGCTGAATTTAATCATAAGTCGGATGATTGTCGTCTGCTTAAATGATATAGGGCTAAGCCATAGTATTTATAGGTCAAACAACAAAGCTAAAGTTAAAACTACATCGAGTATCTGGTATCGGTAATATTTTTTAAATTACATTCCTTTTCAAAATAGACTTTAGGTCTAAGCAGGAAAAACAAGTAATGTAATACTTAAAGCCATGCCATAAAAGTCTTATTTGGGGCCTACAGTAATAATTATAGAATTAAAAAATAAAGAACCAATTTTTCATTCAAATTATTTAGATTTAGATCTAGATCTAGATTCTAGATGTAGATTATATTTTTTAGCGCAATTTCCATTCTGGAGAATTGCGTTTATTAACTCGTCATTTCTGGGAATGGATGGATGAATGTATGGATGAATGAATGTATGGATGAATGAATGTGTGTCCGGGCTTTAAGTCGTATCTCCTCCTCAACGAAGCAATATCGATGACTAGTTCCAAAAGCAATTATGTTAAGCAAGTTACGAGAATGAGCATAGGCCATAAAAATTCCGGGTTTCTTTCATGTATTTCCCGGAAAAGCCAAAAAACCTCGAAAAAATTCAGTTTTTGGCCCATATCTCGGCAACCAGACCACTTAGCGACTTGAAACATGTACCAATCGATTCCTGCCATAATTTAGAACAATATTGCCGAAGAAAGTTTTCAAAAATATCCTTTCGTTCGGTCACAAAAAAATTTTGAATTAATTAAATTTGGACCGAATTAGTAGGCATTTTTTCCAACCACACCACACGCGTCATCACGTTCAATAGCTGTGCCATCGCGTTCCATGGCTGCGCCATCACGTTCAGTAGGCGCGCAATGGTTTTTAGTCATGTAACTCTATTGTAAATAAAACATGTAAAATACTGAAAAAAATTAATAAAAAACGTTTTAATAACTAACCAATGGTTTTACTAACCCTGCTCTTGATTTACGCTACGACAGAGCTATTTTTAGATAACGTAAGGAAATTGCGCTAAAATTGTCACTAGACTTTTTAATTACCTTGTTTTATCGAGTCTGCCCACAAACAACTTTTTTGCACAGATTTTTCTTGGTTTGTAAGCCAAATCAGAGACATAATTTATTGATTATTTTAAAATTAAGTCTCTACAGTGTAAATTGGAGTTTTTTATTCTTAAATATACATAAACATTTTACATGTAAGGTCTATGCTAGTATTAGTAAGTTTGTGAAATATTTTTAATTTAATTTTAAAATAATAATTCACTTTTAATATACTGTAGGTACTAGAGGCTAGAGTCGAATCCAGCTTGAACTCGAATCTTTAAAAACAGCTGTAAAAATACTACAATTTAATGGTTTAGTGTCGATATGGAATCTACCCAAAATCTACCATCAAACCTCCCCTAGTAACTAGTAATATTAATTAAAACTTTAATAAACCTGAAGTATCATAAGGATTTTTTAGGGTCTAAATATGAGAAGTGATATTGGTAAAATCTTAGTTTAGCGTCGTAAATTCGGCCAAAACTAGTAATGTGGGAGAGAGTGAATTAATGAATATGTCATTAAATATGAGTATATTTTCGTATATTTTGATTAAATATTATAGATAATTGAATAATAGATCACCATTTATGGTTAAATCAATTTAAGTATCCTGAAATTAATTTTTATCAACCCTGTTCGAGATAGTAAATTTGCTATTAAAAACAGCAGCCATCTTAAGAAAATGTTATTTAGAGTAGCTTCCCTTTCATTTCTATTCGTATGAAAATGTATTTAAATGTGATTGTCTTGTTGTATAGTCCGTATTACAAAGCATTTTTTTTTTAAATTCTGCCCTTTAAAAACTGAATTTCCTAACAAACAACTTTATTAATTCTAGAAGCATTGTGAGATGCAACTTGTATCCATGTATTAAATCACGTTTTTTTTACTAATTTTTATTTGATCTTACTATTACTATATATTTGAGTTTTTTCTTATTGTTTGAATGTTCACTATTTTCATTTCAGTTTTTTCTTTTCATTAATTAGTGATTCTATCGTAACTTATGACATTTTTTTTTACTTCTCTTTACCTTAATTAAACCCCAACCTCCGTCATATTTTTGTGGTCAATGTCACAACAAGTCATAATGTAAAAAATTACGCTTCACTCTGCCTTATCTAAGATCTCTAACCATAATTTTGACAACATTAAATGTTTGTCATCATTTATATATACAGAGAGACAAAATGTATTATCCACCAGCTTCCCTCGTAAAACATCATCTAAAACAATGAGCCAGTCCACCCCTTAAGTGCGTGTTGTCATTAAGGTCGATCGCAAGTCTCCACCTGCCAGACACATTTTGGTTATCCTTTGTTGTCAAATTGTCAATATCAAGTACCCAAGTGAGTGATATGGGGTTGTCCATAAATGATGTCACATATGATTTGCTACGGGAGTGAGTAAAGATGTGTGACGTCAACTCAGGCGGCTCTGCAAATTATGACGTGTCGGTATCATGAAAGGAGGTGAACGGGGAAAAATATCTAGGTGCTTGACGGAGAACCTGTATAATGCTTTGTTCAATCAAAATAACGATAAATAAGCATTACTATACGTATACCTTGCTCAAAACGAATCATCATGAATATTGCAAGCCTGCTAGTTTAAGACATTTGGCAAAACGGCCTCAACACATTATCCCCGTCAAAACGGCTTGCCACCAAATGCCTGCCAAGGAATAAGCCGCGTCTAATGCGGGGCGTTAGGAATACGGCCATTAGCATGGGCCGCGTTAGAGCACCAGTAAGCTATCGCGCTTTGTAAGATGACGTAAATACTTAAATTCAATTTCGCTAAACTGCGCGAAAATTTAGTAATGTTCCATCGTTTGAGGAAATTTATTTTCTTGGACTTAAATTGAAATATCATGTTGACTGTCTGGCTCTTAATTTCCGAATATATGTATCAAGATTCAGAACTATAATTTACTTTAATATAAGTGTCATCTTATCGTTTATTGTGCCTTTTATAAAGCGCAAAGCAGCTTCAAAATCGGACGGCAATCCTGTTTTCACCAAGCTTCTTTTGGAGCTTAATATGGGTAGTCTAGTTCTATACGGTGAGAGCTTAATACATTTTTCAAGGGCCGAAAGTCTCAAGACAGCAAGCTTGCAGAAATAACCACGAACGTTTAAATGGACAAGTGATAGATGTGTTAGGGGCTGTTTAATGAACACCAACTTATGTAATCAAATTAAACGTCGCTTAAACTACGTCAAAACGGCAGTGCTTGTTTTTTTTTTCTTCTATAAAATTAGCCTAACGGTCGGCGGTACCGGTACATGACGTCACGCGCGAGCGTTAACTCGGTGACGATGTGCTCAGTGGGGGAACGAAAAGGTGGGGTTCAAGAAATGCGACTCAGCATGCTTTTTTACATTTCTTGACCCTCCTTAATAGTCCTATCGTCCCCACTGAGAAAATGGATCACCAATGAATGACACGTCATACTTCTACAGCTGGTCTTTCTCCCACAACCATCCCGTTTTCAGAAAAAAAAACCTGACCCGTCTCCAAAATCACATCGCTGAGTTCTACTCAACATCGCCCCACTACAAATAACGATTTCAATCTGAAACAATATGCTCATATGTTTGCTCTGTAATAATGCACGCTGTCATTACTATCTTAAGAGCGACGTCATTTATGAGCGATCTAATATTGATTTGCTTACTGCAAATAAAGTGTTCACAAGTTCGACCTCCCAACAATTGTTGTTGTCTTGGATGCACACTATTAAGTCTGAAAAGGTCTATTAGTCATTCATGTCAACTATATTTTAAAAAAAAAAGAAAAATTACTATACAAGGGGTCATCCATAAAAGACGTCACGCTTTTTTTGACGAGTTTTACCTCCCCCCCCCCCTCCCCTCCGTCACACTTCGTCACAAAAAGCCAGACCCCCCCCCCTAAAATGACGTCACACCAGAGGCGTAGCGACCCTTCTCGGCTCCCGGGGACAAACTTTCGATTTGCACCCCCTCAACCTTTTGATTTGCACCCCCTTGAAACTTTCGATTTGCACCCCCCCTCCATCATTCGATTACTTTTTCCAACCCATTTAGGCGCCCCCTAAGGTCGGCGCCCGGGGACATATGTCCCGTCCCCCCCCCTGCCCCCCCCCCCCCCCCCCATCGCTACGCCTCTGAGCTGATTTGTTTTTAAACAGCTATATTTTTTCCAAAATCTTGTCTGAACTCTGTCAAAATAGAGTATTTTAATCAATTGTAATTACAATATATTAAAACAGTTTTCTAAAACGCAAAATAACGTCTAAAATTCGTTTTCTATTCTAACCTTTCTTTTTTAGAATGCAAGAGTGTGACGTCGCACCATCTGAACTCCCCCCCCCCCCCATCACACAACGTCACAAAATTACGGACCCCCCCCCCTCCCCCCTACAAGTGTGACGTCATTTATGGACGACCCCCAGGCATATATTAAATCAATACAAAACAATCATATTAAACCACAAAATCAACACAAAAGACATGCGAATAGACAATTTATGGTTTTTGAAACATGGCCGCTGCTTGTATTTACTCATTGTTGTCTCGAACGGGGTAGTTTAAAGTTTATTCCAGGATATTTTTTATTGTTTTTGTCATGGATTGTGATTTGTTATTCAATTATCTGTTATATTATGTAAAATATGACATAAATATGGCCAAATGAAAGAAATATTCATTAGTTACCAATAGTTACCATCATCGCACATTACTAGCTACGTTGGAATTTACGACGCTAAACTAAGATTTTACCGTGATATTTTATACAATATTTTTTTTTAATAGTTTTATTAACATAATAAAAAGACTCTACTCACTTAATTTAAGACTTTTAAAATAAGATGTCGAATAGTCAACATGGCGGTCTGACCCATCATTCTAATCGTCTGAGTCAGTTTGACGTGTATTTTGGAATTCCCGATTACGGGGATTGCTAAATATTTTATTTTTAGATGTGAAAAATCCCAAAGTTAAAAAGTTGAAACGAACTAAATATAAAAACCAACATATTTTTAAACTAAGGAATATTTTATATTTTACTTCATAAGCCCTGTGCAGTGGGGCTTACTGTTGGGGGTGCAACTGAAAAATCGACAATGTAGAAGTAGTGGCGTAGCGAGGTCGGGTGTCACCCGGTGCTGCACTTAATGGTGTCACCCCCTCAGACGCGTAGCGACCCTTCCCGGGGACAAACTTTCAAATTTTCGATTTGCACCCCCCCCCCCCTCAAGTTTTCGATTTGCACCCCCCCCCCTCGAACTTTCGATTTGCACCCCCCCTCAAGTTTTTCACTATATATTTTGCTATTTTTTGCCTTGGTGTCACCCCCGTAAATGGTGTCACCCGGTGCGGTCCGCACCCCCCGCCCCCCCCCCCTCGCTACGCCCCTGTGTAGAAGTATATAGACTGTGGGGGGGGGGGGGGTCAACATTGTGTGGATACGTTAAACATAACATTAAAATTATTGTTGGCCAACAAAACAATATCCTTAAGTTTATCATGCACACAGTTTGTTTAAATTTCAAAACGGCCAAATGTGAAACGAAATCACAAGACAGTATTACAGACAAGTGCATATAATGGTAGTCTATAACTGACGTTAGCATAACATGGAGGGGGGGTGGGGGCGTATCAATTATGATGTGTCATAATTCACATAGTCATTATACTTGAAGATAAATCATGTTATCTTCTGTAAGCATTATTGTTATTTTGAGTAATATAGTAGAATAGAATGTAGACTATGTTATTACATTTTGAATATTGGAAGTTTTTTAAGAAAGAAATACTCAAATTACATTAGATGTCTACAGCGTGTGGTGGGGTGAGGGGAGGTGGGGGAGAATGTGTATAAAGGGCATGTGGACTATGGCGTAAAATGAGAGGTCTAAAAATGTTCTGGAATTTATAGATGGATAGAAAGTTGGAGACGAAGAACGTTAAATAAACTCAACAGCCAAAGCTTTGTTTAACTATGCTTCCTATTGTAAAAATATGTTAAATTTTTAAAAATATTTTAAGCATCCCAATCTCCTTTAACATCGATACTTCAACATTAACACAGCCATTGTGAGGTATTTAAAACATATCACATCCTGTCGTCGTTTCTAGCACGTGAGCATAAATTGTAGTCACGTGACACTCAGGATAAAGTAATCAATTCACAGACCAGGTGAAAAGAGCAATGTTATGGGCGGCAATGACTCAGCGAAATTCACAGTCAGCATAACACGGCGCATTAATGTTATTGTTATCTGCTTTCAACCTGATAAATATTATCAAAAGTCTAAACACGGTGTATGTTTCCTCAAAAGCCCGCTGGCATAATATTAAGCAAGTTGTTTACTTCGTCTATCGTTGACGTTGGTAAGCACTTTGTATATATATATATATATATATATATATATATATATATATATATATATATATATATATATATATATGCTTGTCTCTATCTTTTATGCATTACTATGCCATTCATCGCCATAAAACTATCGGAGTTTGTCTCATATATATATATATATATATATATATATATATATATATATATATATATATATATATATATATATATATATATATATGCTTGTCTCTATCTTTTATGCATTACTATGCCATTCATCGCCATAAAACTATCGGAGTTTGTCTCATACAAAGATCATCACTCACATCATCTCACACAAAGATCATCACTCACATCATCTCATACAAAGATCATCATATACATCATCTCATACAAAGATCATCAGATACTATCATCTCGCACAATGACCATCTTTATATACCCAAATACACTTACTATTAATATGGGGATACATTATGATGTAAAAACAATTTTAAAAATCAACGCATAACACAGTTTACAAATCCCCTCACGATTATATCGCTTCAATACGTTTTGTCTAAGAATCCAGTCTACACAATCACGTACGTGACACTTTGACCTTGGGATTACATTCACGCCCCGGTAAACATGACGTGACACTTTGACCTTGGGAATACATTCACGCCCCGTGACACTTTGACCTTGGGAATACATTCACGTCCCGGAAAACATGACGTGACACTTTGACCTTGGGAATACATTCACGCCTCACTAGATATGACGTGACACTTTGACCTTGGGAATACATTCACGTCCCGGTAAACATGACGTGACACTTTGACCTTGGGAATACATTCACGCCTCACTAGATATGACGTGACACTTTGACCTTGGGAATACATTCACGTCCCGGTAAACATGACGTGACACTTTGACCTTGGGAATACATTCACGCCTCACTAGATATGACGTGACACTTTGAACTTGGGAATACATTCACGTCCCGGTAGATATGACGTGACACTTGGACCTTGGGAATACATTCACGTCCCAGTAGATATGACGTGACACTTGGACCTTGGGAATACATTCACATCCCAGTAGATATGACGTGACACTTGGAATACATTCCGTCCCAGTAGCTATGCGTGACACTATGTCCTTGGAAATACATATACGCCACAGTAGGCATGACGTGACACTTTGTCCTTGGAAAACATTCACCCCATATTTTTACGCCACAGTAGGCATGACTTGGACACTTTGACCTTGGGAAACATTCACGCCTCACTAGATATAACAGTGCTGGGGGCGACGATGACTCAGCTAGATATACAAATAGAGAAATATATTTTACCCAGTCATCATAACACAGCGCTATCCATTTAGCCTTCAGTCAACTCGGTACATGTAATCAATAACAAAACATGCAACTTTTACTCCAACAGCAGATTATCATAAGGAAATAATAAGCAAGCATGGGTTCAACAGCAGATTATCATAAGGAAATAATAAGCAAGCATGGGTTAGGTATGCAATAGATGAATAGAGTCATGTGCATTTGGTAAAATTTGTGATTTAACAAAATTCGATGTTTATTCTTATGTAAATGCTAAAAATAGTGTATGATTTACAGGAACTATTTGATAGTATAATAATTATGTAATTACGTGCATGTAAGCGAACAAAATCGAATGTGCAACTAGAGTGTTGACAGCGTGTGGCATCTAGAATTAGTAGAGTATGCCCTAATATGGTTGGAGAACACAGGATTCAAATTATATAAACAATATCACTGGAGTTCATAATGTAGTAATTCTTTAATATATGCTAGAATTTTAACACATTTAAGCTAACAAGTTATGTAAACGTGTTGTCTTGTATATTCATCAATGTGTTTCTTTAATCTTGTGGGCTAATATATGTTCTATAGCTGTAGTCATGTAGTCACATACAATATGTTGACCTGTGGTCTTGAAATTACATGCATGTAGTTATGTGATATTGTAATCACATACATGTCGTTTTCATATAATCACATACATTTTGATCTGTAGTCTTTTAATCATTACGTACATGTGGTTCTCATCTTGTAATCACATACATGTTGATATGTGATCTTGTAATCACATACATGTTGATATGTGATCATGCAATCACATACATGTTGATATGTGATCGTATAATCATATACATGTTGATCTGTGATCGCATAATCACATACATGTTGATATGTGATCGTATAATCACATACATGTTGATATGTGATCGTATAATCACATACATGTTGATCTGTGATCGTATAATCACATACATGTTGATCTGTGATCGTATAATCACATACATGTTGATTTGTGATCGTGTAATCACATACATATTGATCTGTATCATGTAATCACATACATGTTGATCTGTAGCCTTGAAACCACCGCAGTCACTCGACAAAACCAAACAATGACGAATGGATTTTGCGATCCACGGCCCGGATATTTCAGTGTATAAGTTGCTTTCATTCATTCTGCAAACATACCATTTTGTGTGTTGGTACTAGACTAGATACACTGTTGGTACAGTAAGTTGCTTTCATTCATTCCGCAAACAGACCATTTTGTGTGTTAGTACTAAACTAGCTACACTGTTGATACAGTAAGTAAGTTGATTAATGTTTTAATTACATTAAAACTGTGATTTTATGTTTCATACAAGAAGCTGTCAAATAGCATATTTCGGCATTATTGATTTTCAAATGTTTTAGATAGCCACACTTGTTTTGCAGTATCTCAAAAAAGTCTGATACAGTGATAGCCTAAGGTAATCAAAGACACGTATGAAGCAGAGGTCGAATGATACTGTCTGATATATTTACTTTGCTAGTATGTTATCGCTTCAGTTAAGTCTGGGGGTTCGCCGTTATTCTGCCCGGGGGTTGGGCGTTGTTCTGCCCGGGGATAGAGGGGACGTGCGGCTCTCCTGAGTCCTCCGAGCCACGAGCGACTCTTTGAACGACATCTGCGGCTCCTTACATCCGGCTTAAAATGAGCTGCTAATAAAATTACTTACAGTAATATAGACAGGATTGTGAACATCATTACTTTTTATTGCATTAGAGCAGGGGTCTCCAAACTTTTCAGTCTGAGGGCCGCATTAACTATCAAATTTCACTTCGAGGGCCAGTTTCTTCCAGGCATGTCTTTGATTTTTCTGGACAAAGTTCCTCAGCCTTCACCAACAAACGTTTTTTCCGTGGACAAAAAGATCTCCGCGGGCCGGATGAGAGGACATCGCGGGCCGCATCCGGTCCGCGGGCCGTAGTTTGGAGACCCCTGCATTAGAGTTTAAATGATCATAATTAAAGAATATGTAAAGGTCATCACTCTAAATTTAGTTGAGCTGAATTTATAAAATGGCTGGTTACTTCATAAAAAATGCCGCCCTGTGTGCTAACCAATCAAGTATTACAAAATCTTTGGCCCATCACATAAGCTCCACCCCCTTCCCACATACGACCAGTTTGTTTTGAGTTCCTCCCTGCATATAGACCTGCATTGTGAACTGATTGTTTTGTTCAGGTCACGTCAACCTAGACGTGACAACGTACGTTCAATACCTGGTATTATATCAAGCCCACCCACCAACTTCAACATACCAACCCCATCCCCGCCAACCAGCTAAACATCTCACCCCCCACCTACCAACTGATCATTTCACCCACACCCACTAGCTAAACACTTCATCCCCACCCACCAGCTAAACATTTCACCCCCACCCACCAACTTACGATTTCACCCTCACCCACCAACTGACCATCCCCCCCACCCACCAACTGACCATCCCCCCCACCCACCAACTGACCATCCCCCCCACCCACCAACTGACCATTTCACCCTCACCCACCGACTTACCATCTCACCCCCACCTACCAACTGACCATTTCACCCTCACCCACCAACTGACCATTTCACCCTCACCCACAAACTGACCATCCCCCCACCCACCGACTTACCATCTCACCCTCACCCACCGACTTACCATCTCACCCCCACCCACCGACTTACCATCTCACCCCCACCTACCAACTGACCATTTCACCCTCACCCACCAACTGACCATCCCCCCCACCCACCAACTGACCATCCCCCCCACCCACCAACTGACCATCCCCCCCACCCACCAACTGACCATTTCACCCTCACCCACCGACTTACCATCTCACCCCCACCCACCGACTTACCATCTCACCCCCACCTACCAACTGACCATTTCACCCTCACCCACCAACTGACCATCCCCCCCACCCACCAACTGACCATCCCCCCCACCCACCAACTGACCATCCCCCCCACCCACCAACTGACCATTTCACCCTCACCCACAAACTGACCATCCCCCCCACCCACCGACTTACCATCTCACCCCCACCTACCAACTGACCATTTCACCCTCACCCACCAACTGACCATTTCACCCTCACCCACAAACTGACCATCCCCCCCACCCACCAACTGACCATCCCCCCCACCCACCAACTGACCATTTCACCCCCACCCACCAACTGACCATTTCACCCTCACCCACCAACTGACCATTTCACCCCACCCACCAACTGACCATTTCACCCCCACCCACCGACTTAAGATTTCACCCTACCCACCAGCTTAACATCTCACCCCCACCCACCAGCTTAACATCTCACCCCCACCCACCAGCTTAACATCTCACCCCCACCCACCAGCTTAACATCTCACCCCACCCACCAGCTTAACATCTCACCCCCACCCACCAGCTTAACATCTCACCCCCACCCACCAGCTTAACATCTCACCCCCACCCACCAGCTTAACATCTCACCCCCACCCACCAGCTTAACATCTCACCCCCACCCACCAGCTTAACATCTCACCCCCACCCACCAGCTTAACATCTCACCCCACCCACCAGCTTAACATCTCACCCCCACCCACCAGCTTAACATCTCACCCCCACCCACCAGCTTAACATCTCACCCCCACCCACCAGCTTAACATCTCACCCCCACCCACCAGCTTAACATCTCACCCCCACCCACCAGCTTAACATCTCACCCCCACCCACCAGCTTAACATCTCACCCCCACCCACCAGCTTAACATCTCACCCCCACCCACCAGCTTAACATCTCACCCCCACCCACCAGCTTAACATCTCACCCCCACCCACCAGCTTAACATCTCACCCCCACCCACCGACTTAAGATTTCAGCCTACCCACCAGCTACAACATGACCATGAGAGCCGTCACCATCAAAAAGTTTGGAGGTCCAGAGGAGCTGGCACTGGAGACTGTGGCCGTACCAACACCCAAGGAAGGGGAGGTAAGTAGTCCTGCCCCATCCCAAAGGGGAGGTAAGTAGTCCTGTCCCATCTTCAAGGGGGGTAGTAGTCCTGTCCCATCCTAAAGGGGAGGTAAGTAGTCCTGTCCCAGCCTAAAGGGGAGGTAAGTAGTCCTGCCCCATCCCAAAGGGGAGGTAAGTAGTCCTGTCCCATCCTAAAGGTGAGGTAAGTAGTCCTGTCCCATCCTAAAGGTGAGGTAAGTAGTCCTGTCACATACTAAAGGGGAAGTAAGTAGTACTGTCCCATCCTTAAGGAGAGTTAAGAAACCATTTTCCATTCTAAAAGGGAGGTAAAGGGAGGAAAGAAACCCTTTCTACCCACACAATTTGTTGTTTATGTGAGTGCGTCTGTCTGTGTGTGATATAATTGACATAGACGTTTATAACATGTGGTGTAATATAAAATTGACATGAATGTATATATGAACGATACGTGATACAATCCATCACTTCCCCAGGTTTTGATCAGGGTTCACGCCATTGGTGTGAACCCCGTGGACACCATCATACGCCAGGGGTGGTTCGGTCCCAGGACGTTTCCTTTCATCCTCGGCATGGACGTGGCTGGGGTCATAGAGAAAGTTGGTCCAGGAGTCAAAGGTTACAAGGTCAAGCTTGTGTTTACATTGTGGCATGTGTACAGTGTCTGTTTTGTTTAACGACGTAATGTTTGTGTTTCATTCAATCACATTTTTTACGAATGAATTAAATCGAGAGTATTTTACTTTTAATATTATAAGTACTTTATTGACATTAAATAGTTAACATATATATAGGCCTACATATTTACTCATTCCCTTTGATCCGCGTCTATTTCTCACAGAAGCGTAGCAACCCTTCCCGGCACCCGGGGACAAACTTTTCGTTTGCACCCCCCCCCCTCAAACTTTCAATTTGCACCCCCCTCAACCTTTCAATTTATTTTTCCAACCCATTTTGGCGTCCACTCAGGTCGGCGCCCGGGGACATATGCGCCCCCCCCCCCCTCGCTACGCTACTGATTTGTCAATTTGAGTGTTGTATCGGATACTGAATTCTCTCATTCTTAACCAGCCTTAAACCATACCATTACCCTAGCAAATAGACGTTAAACCTACCATTGTCATAACCCTAGCAACTTGACGTTAAACCTACCATGTCATAAACCCTAATCCCAGTAACAACACCAAAACGTGCATTGATAACCTACGTGCGAGAAGATACTGTGACTGTTAAACACATTGCTGTTTAAATTATCGATCCTACTTCCCAAATGAGTTACCAAAAATGTACCTGTACCTGACAGCTACTATCATTTAGACACGGCGTGTAGGTCTTATACCTAATTTAAAGCACAAACCTAAGGTCAGGCTTTTAGACACGGCGTGTAGGTCTTATACCTAATTGAAAGCACAAACCTAAGGTCAGGCTTTTAGACACGGCGTGTAGGTCTTATACCTAAGCACAAACCTAAGGTCAGGCTTTTAGACACGGCGTGTAGGTCTTATACCTAATTGAAAGCACAAACCTAAGGTCAGGCTTTTAGACACGGCGTGTGGGTCTTATACCTAAGCACAAACCTAAGGTCAGGCTTTTAGACACGGCGTGTGGGTCTTATACCTAATTGAAAACATAAACCTAAGGTCAGGCTTGAGTTGACACAAACCTAAGGTCAGGCTTCAGTTGACAAGATGTCCTAGATTCCAACTTGCTCGCCTGGTTACCTGACAAGTTTACCGTCTGTCACGTGATTTGGTCTAGCAGTTGATTGGAATGTTTAGAACAGAATATCTAGTAGGTTTACTTAACATGTGTAGTAGGTTTACTTAACATGTGTAGTAGGTTTACTTAACATGTGTAGTAGGTTTACTTAACATGTGTAGTAGGTTTACTTAACATGTGTAGTAGGTTTACTTAACATGTGTAGTAGGTTTACTTAACATGTGTAGTAGGTTTACTTAACATGTGTAGTAGGTTTACTTAACATGTGTAGTAGGTTTACTTAACATGTGTAGTAGGTTTTCCTAACATGTGTAGTAGGTTTACTTAATTTGTTGATGGGTGGGCGGGAAATAGTTGTCAATTTTACAAATGTAGTCAAATCAGTGGCGTCACTAGGTCGGGTGTCACCAGGTGCGGAAACAGAAGGTGTCACCCCACCCGCATCATGCAATTTTACATTTTTGATTTGGTGTCACCCCTATACAATACTATTATTTTTTTTTCTTTATTTTAATAAGAGAAAAGATTGTTTTTACTGTTAACTTTATGACTTTTCGTTTTGAAGACACCCTCTAAATGATGTCAACTGGTGCGGACCGCATCTCCACCCCCCCCCCATTGAATGGTGAACAATATTGATCTGTGAAATGTCATTGCACATTTTCCTACGCCGACCAGCTGATATTCCTTATCTGTTTACACGTCGTGCTAAAAACATCAACAATCAACTTACCCGTGAACGTGGGCAACAAATGACCACGTTATCTAGTCACTGTTACGTTTAGGTTTGGGTTTAGTTATCGTCGGTACCCACACGGTATATAGTCACCGTTACGTTTAGGTTTGGGTTTAGTTATCGTCGGTACCGACACGTTATCTAGTCACCGTTACGTTTAGGTTTGGGTTTAGTTATCGTCGGTACCGACACGGTATATAGTCACCGTTACATTTAGGTTTGGGTTTAGTTATCGTCGGTACCGACACGTTATCTAGTCACCGTTACGTTTAGGTTTGGGTTTAGTTATCGTCGGTACCGACACGGTATATAGTCACCGTTACATTTAGGTTTGGGTTTAGTTATCGTCGGTACCGACACGTTATCTAGTCACCGTTACATTTAGGTTTGGGTTTAGTTATCGTCGGTACCGACACGGTATATAGTCACCGTTACGTTTAGGTTTGGGTTTAGTTATCGTCGGTACCGATTTTAAGTAGTGATTAGTCATGGTTTTGCTAAACATACACTATGTCAGATGTGACATAGATCTATAATCTTACAACTGTAACAGCCATGACATAGATCTATGATCTTGTAACAGTGACATATATCTATGATCTTGTAACAGTGACATAGATCTATGATCTTGTAACAGTGACATAGATCTATGATCTTGTAACAGTGACATAGATCTATGATCTTGTAACAGTGACATAGATCTATGATCTTTGTAACTGTAACTGTGACAGAGATCTATGATCTTGTAACCCAACCAACTTCTCTTGTTGCTAGGCAGGTGACCGTGTGTACACATTTGACACCGTCAGTGGCGGCTATGCTGAGTTCGCCGTTGCCTCGGTAACCAGAATCGGCCGTTTTGACAACAAGCTGAGTTTCGCACAAGGGGCGGCACTGGGAGTTCCCTACCACACGGCGTGGAAGTCTTTGTACTTCAGGTCAGTGTCACGTGGTACAGGCCACAGGAAGTTGGCATGATGGGACATTTTTGTCTCACAAGTCAACACATTTTTAATTGTAAACAATGGCGCACGTATTGGTTTAATTTTATTAAGATAAGTTAATAATAAGCATGTGTACACCCCCCCTCCACCCATCCTCCCCCCCCCCCCCCCGAATAATATAAATATGTTAAATAAAATGGATATATTTTTACCCGTTTCCGGTCCTTCTCCAACCTCCCCCCCCCCCCACACACACACACGGTAAAAATGTCTGAAAGGAACACTGCATACATCAGTTATTCGAGAAATGGACATAAGAAGGTTCTGAGACTTAATCTATACTAGTTCAATTTAACACTGATGGGATGAGGGGTTAAATTATCTGCTGGGGTAAACAAAGAGTTAAAACTAAAACGATTCACTAAGGTCAGGCTAGGATGTCACTCTCCTAGAACATACACCACTGACATAAGTTCCACATTGTTAGTCTCTCCACATGTCCACTCTGCATGTTTAGCTCCTGCTGTACTCACACACGTCATTTGCCCATAAGGACGAGTAATGTATGGAAAGATTAATATAACTGTCTATAGAACATTGTTGTAGAATGTTTTATAAAAGTGTTTTTTTTCTTGTCTACCACAGAGCTCAAGCCAAGAAAGAGGAAACAATTCTGATACACGGGGCTAGTGGGGCGGTGAGTATATGGGGGGGCAGTGGGGCGGTGAGTATATGGGGGGGCAGTGGGGCGGTGAGTATATGGGGGGGGCAGTGGGGCTGTAAGTATATGGGGGGGCAGTGGGGCTGTAAGTATATGGGGGGCAGTGGGGGGGCAGTGGGGGTGTAAGTATATGGGGGGGCAGTGGGGCTGTAAGTATATGGGGGGGGGCAGTGGGGCTGTAAGTATATGGGGGGCAGTGGGGGGGGCAGTGGGGGTGTAAGTATATGGGGGGGGGGGCCAGTGGGGCGGTGAGTATATGGGGGGGGGTGAGTATATGGGGGGGGGGGCCAGTGGGGCGGTGAGTATATGGGGGGGGGGTGAGTATATGGGGGGGGGGGGCTAGTGGGGCTGTAAGTATATGGGAGGGGGGGCAGTGGGGCTGTAAGTATATGGGGGGGGCAGTGGGGCTGTAAGTATATGGGAGGGGGGGGCAGTGGGGCTGTAAGTATAATGG